CTCTTCTTGAAATTTTGGACACACGCACCACAGGCCATGGACGCCAACGTCAGAGTCAGCCACGTTGGATCCGGTGCCTTAAGCACCAGGCCACCTGCTGGCCCCATTTTTCTTCAGATTAAGCGGATGTGTTCTTGGCCACTTAACCTTGTCAAAGTATTGTAGTTAATTGTGGCAGAAGAGTGAGCCCCTGAGAGAACAATAGCTAATTTATATATCAGCCATCTGTCCATTAGGTGACCTAGCATGAAAACTTTGCTTGAAAGGAGTGATAATGAGTAGACCAATCACTGTCTTTTAGGAAGTTGTTTGGGAGAGGTATTATGTGGGTGCTAGTAGTGGGAGAAGAAAAGGACATACACAGTGAGGAAAAATAGAGTTGCTGGAGATGGGTTAATAATAATACTCACAAAAACACACCTGGAACAATGCCCAGCATGTAGTCAGCCAGACGCCAGACCCATGTGTTAGCTACTGTTAGAATTTTCCTCTAGGACAATAAAGGGATAATATATTTCATGAATACATTCACAATATGTGTTGTTAGGAATGCAACGTGTTGTATTAATATTTTGACTTTTTTTTTTTTTTAATTTACTAGAGGGGGTGTGCACTTGCTGGAAAGAGAAAGGGAGACAGCAGCCCTCCTCTCCGTGGGAGGTGACCATGCCACGGTCCCTTCACTCATTTCTCTTTTCCAGATTCTGAGCACCCAAGCATGGGTGTGTCTTTCAAGCGCTGGGTCCAGGACTCTAACTGTTCAGCCAGCCATGTGGGATCCAGATGGGCCAACCACCACACACTGTGGGCCCTCTATTTTGACTTTTAAGAGCTAATCTTTGTTTGTTTGTTTGTTTTGGAGAGGTTTTTGCTATAGGGCGCCTGCACTCGCCAGAAAGAGACAGAAAGCGAGAAATCACCCCCCAGGGGGGATGGCCACACTGCAGTCCCTTCTCTCGGGATCTTGGGCACGCAAGCTCATGTGCCCAACGGGAGTTTAAGCCACCAGATACAGGACTTGAACGCAGGGGACTACATGCGAGTCCAGCGACACAGTCATTATGCCAACCGCTGGTCCCATAGAACTTTTTAAGTTTATTTTTTTTTAACTTTATTTATTTATTTATTTTAATTTGGCCAGAGGGACACAGAGAGAAAGTGAGAAAGCAAGCCGCCAGGTCCGGGACTTGAACTGCAGTCCGCCACGTGGGACTCCAGCGCCCTTGACCACCATACCACCTGCCGTCCTGATATACAACATTTCTATTCTTGCAAAATGTTCTGTAAGACAGAGCCGGAAGGTAGTGCCCTTTCCTTCCCTCGGGGCAATCGCTGTTACAGGTTTCTTGTACGGCGTGTCTTTCACGGCTCACGCACACACAAACACACGCAAATTATTTCTCCCAAGTGTCATCTGCAACCTGTTTTTGTCTTCTAAAACTCTTGGCTGTACTGCTTCCTTGCCTACGGCAGCTCGTTACGTTTACCCAGCTGGCCGTTGGAAGAGCCGGAGCGCTGATCGCTGGGGCAGGTTCCCCGAGCAGCCCCGAAACCTCCCACGCGCCCTGCGGTGGGACAAACGCACAGTTACGTCCGGACGCAGGTGGGAGGGACCAAGCACCTCGGGCTCCTTTCCCATGTGGCTCCTGCACGAACCACGCTGAGCCGGGCTAACCGACGTCCCGGTCACCCCACCTGCACCTGCACCTGCACGGAGGGCGTCCTTCAGCCGGGTGGCGGCGCGCAGATCCCGGGGCTGCGGAGCCCCAGGTCGCTGGGAGGGGCGCCCCCTGC